AGATAGTTTGCCACGGTACCACTGATATTACATATGAGATTAGATCACACGCGATATTGGTGTAAAATTACTATAAGCGGCAAAAAAGCTCATAACTACCTCCACAATTTGAGTTCGAGTCCAAATTATCAAATTCAATTTTGGTATAGTTTTTCTTTTTGCCCGTTAGTTTACTTTGCCAAAGATTTCATCGTAAAAGACGTCAGTTTGAGTCTATATTGGTCGGTCTGCGGGTTATTTACACTGTTTTGCCCTTGTGTGTGTTCGTTCATTTCTGTGAGGAAATTACCGAACATGTTCCCATGGGTCTGAGAGTTATATACTCAGCGAAAAGGAGACGCATCAGTAGTTTACATATGTATACGTTATGTATTGTTAATATAATCAGAAGAGCATCTGTATTTGTTCAAATTTGGCACCCCATTGCCACTGAACTAGGTTCAGTATGGCACATATCGAATGTCAAGGTGAAGGTCATATCATGACCCCATGATAAACCTGAACTGTCTGGCACTTGCTCCATGAAACCAGTCAGATCACGAATTGTGGCCTAGGGGGGTGTTCACTAAACCAAGCATGTCTCAATCTTTGCTGTGGCTATACATTGACGTCGCAGCCGACGATGCCGTGGGTCAGAATGACGTCTTGAGCGAATACCTGTGATGCCGCGTCGCATGTCTGCGGCTGGCGATGTTTCGTTAAAGAAATCCAGGAACGTTAATTTACCTTTAGATTGCCTTTTAGATGCAATTGATGTTATGGTTGTTCCAATTCGCATGTATGGCTCAGAGATATAGGGACACGAGCACTTAGAAATCATAGAAAGAATTCACTTAAAATTTCTTACATTAGCTTCCGGTTTGAGAAATAGCACCCCAAATTATATGCTTACTTTGAATTTTGAAGACAGCCTTTGAGTATCAAAATCTATAAGGGATTTATATCGCATTGGCATGAATTAGCTTCTGAGAACACATATTGGAAGCCATCCCAGATTATATACTAGCCACATAAAGAAACTGTGTGCTGGCGATTAGGTGCCTGACTCTGAGGGTGTGAGTTCGAATTCGGATGGGGCTCGACTCAAAAAGTACTAGATTTTGTACTTTTACTAAGAAAGTGTAATCCCAAATATAACATATGTTATATCTCGCCATGGGCGAGAATATTTACTTGTGCTCAAAAATACATGTTTTAATGTTTTGAGGTTGTAAATGAATGAAAGTATGTTTTTAAGTATCATGGCGCAAAATGTAACTAAGTTTGACTTCTTAATTCTTGTAATTTAGAGCGATATAAAAAACTTCGACCATGGGAGAAAACAATTTGGCCCAGTTGCGAGAATATTTACCTTTGCTCAAAATACATATGCATGTTGTTGTTTGTATTGCTTTGGAGGTGGAAAGTATGTTTATAAAGTATCAAGACAAAAAAGATTAAATCATTTGGTCTTAATTCGTCTAATTTAGAATCGTTAATGAAAATTGTCTCTCATTTGCTGTTTTTCTTTATATTGCAAACAAATGATTAAATACATGAACGTACCATGACACATAATTTAATTGAATTGAACTTCACTCGACTGTGATACAGTATTAATTTCTAACCCATTCTGGTTCGAGTAAAATGGGATTAGAAACTGTCCTTTCCTCTAAACTTATTTCTTGGATAGGTTAAAATACAACTAAGGTGTGCCAATTTGCACCACCACACGCATTTCAACATTTTTAGCGTTATATCATATCAAACGTATATCGTCTCCTTTATATTTCAGTTTGTAATATGACTGTTTCATTTTTTTTTAAATATACCGTGTGATCCTACATAAAGAACAATGACCTGGAAGTGAACTGGTCTAAACAAGCGTTTAATTACGTGATACGCATGACATGTTCTCTTGAATTACTAATGTGTAGTATATGTGTAATGTTATAATATAAGACAATTTTGCCGTTGAAATGAAGCCCTATTCTACGTTCCCAACATAGCGTCAATCAAGTGTTTGGTCTGTGTTCGGTCTGGCTTTGCGGGCTTTCAAAAACAACTTAAAACTCACAGATTGGATCCATACACTGACCTTATATCTACCACTATACCACCTTATAAAGTATCCAAGCGATGTATTGTGAAAAAACACGCTCTTAAGAGAGAGAGTTAAGCTCTCGTTCCACATTTTCTACATCCTCTACAACACAAGTCTTCGGTGCCAAAAGCACCTTAAAGATGACAGATGTATCCTGAATTGTATTTAGAGCCATGGACGAGTATTACATCTACCTAAATACCACTTTGTAACGTCATAATACACCACTTGTATAGATAACTGGTCCGTTAATATATTTTCTATCAAAGAACGTAATTGGTTTGGAATTTGTAAATGCTTATGCACTAACAGAAATTCGCATACAATGTACCTAAATACCACCTTACAGAGTCTCAAAGCGTAGTATTCTATGTACATGTTACTGTAAGTAACGCTCTGTGTTCATCCGGTCTAATTAATTAATTGCCAGTTAATTACATCTGTATCCAGCTTGCATTATGGGCCCTAAGTAGAATTTGTGTGTTTCAATCCGACGATCAGTCATTAATTACCTTTCACGAGCTTTCAGTGGTATTGAAAGCTCTCGCCTATTGTTTCATTAATAAATTGTTTCACGGATGAGTATGTAATCACTGGGCACTTAAAACATTAGAAGTAATGCCATGGAACAAGTTACCTAACTACAATATGACGTGATATTTTATTGTATATGATTTGAGAATACGGAAGCACTGAAAAGATCTTTTTAACCACCAAGAGCAAAACACTGGTGGTCGAGTTCAGGATCGAGTGATGATTGAAAATACCGCTTCTCAACAATCTGCGAATGATCCAGAGTTATATCACTTTTTGATGTCATAGTCTCAGAGACCAATATAGAAACACTGCCTTGTGTTGAAAACTGTGTATCTGGCCTTCTGTTTCAATGATACATTGATTCATGAAACAGAACATAAATCACAGCAAGATAAGCCTCAGTACAGGAACTTATTTCTAAATTTGTTAACGTACAACATGTGAATTAACTCAGTGCAATTGGTAATATGACTCTTGTTTTATGGTACAAACTACTACGTTTATCAATGTTATGCGTGTACGTACATATAACATTAAAACATACTCGTCAAATTAAATTGTTGAACATGAAATCTTGCTTTTCATTTGTAATTCTTGTGACATCAACAGTGCTGTGGGAGCTTTAAACTGTAACGAAATATGTCTTGTCTTATCCAGAGCTATTTCCGTGGACTGGTTGTTGCTTTTGTTATTGTATTTTTACCGTGAGTACTCGGATGATATCCCAGAATTCTTGACTTGTTCGTGACCTCTGCTGTGCCACCCGCTGGGCAATTTGTAGTATAAGTATAGAAGGATCAACAAAGATGAAATATTTTATTCTATAATATTTCCATCTTCATTATTAATGATAACAAATGAAAACATTTTGAAGTTTAACCACCTGCCAGTGTTAACAGATGTTAGGATTGAAAAATAACGAAGTCAATGTACGTCTTTATATTTTGTCTTATAATCCTAGTTAGTTTATTATTATATTTGTATACATTTTGAAAGTTAATAAAAAGTACACGATCTGCTTATACCTATAGTGAAGTTATAACATGTAATATCTAGACATTTTATAAAAACATAATGCAAATATTAAAATTAAAACAGACATCAGTTATAGCAACAATGTCAGACACATGACATGGAACAGGATTCTTTGTCAGCTGCAGATGAATGGCATATCGTTCCTTTATGTGGATATTGATGGATACATTCCTCGAACAAGGTAATAGCCTGGCATTGTTAAGCTATAATTTTAGTCTGTTTAGGTTTTAATATTTGCATTATGTTTTTATTCATTTGTTGTAGCATTCAACAGAATCATTATTTTCGCCGTGAAGTGTAATGAGACAGTACACACTAGGTCGCACTTAGGGCGCGTGTGTGAAATATGATTCACGTTGGCAATCTATAAAAAGGCCAGCTATTACAGTCATGTTATAAATTCACCATATGTATAAGCAGACCGTGTGCTTTATATTAAGTTTCAAAATGCATACAAATATGAAAATAAACTAACTGGGACTATAAGACAAAATATAAAGACGTACATGTCTAGATAACTGTGGATTAACACATGCATTAAACAACGCTGAATTCAATGACTTTAAACATACCAACAAATCAAATCATTATCACTCATGTCAGCGCGAAATCGGAACAGAAAAGCGCCCGTAAAATCTACAATTACATCCCAGTCCTCAGATGATTGCTCCAAAACAGTGAATGAGTATGGTTGTACGCCGCTTTCAGCAATATTCCAGCAATATCACGGATGACCCTAGAAATGGGATTTACACATTGTGGCCATGAGGGGAAGCAAACCCGGATCTTCCGCGTGAAGAGCGGACGCTTTCACCATTAGGCTAACCAGCCGCCCAATGACAAAATCAAACTGGTGAATCGATATACTTTATATGCAATCGTAAAGTGAAGATACTGAATAACTGTGAGCTTACAGGGAGTGAGTGAGTTTAATTTTACGCCGCACTCAGCAATATTCCAACTATATGGCGGCAGTCTGGACCAGACAACCCAGTGATCAACAGCATGAGCATCGATCTGCGCAATTGAGAACCGATGACATTTGTCAACCAAGCCAGCGAGCCTGACCACCCGATCCCTTTAGTCGCCTCTTACGACAAGCATGGGTTACTGAAGGCACATTCTAACCCGGACCTTACAGGAACAAACGATGATATAATACCGTATAGAACCGAACAGTACTGCGTTTAAAGCAACAATGCCTTTACTAAATTGTCATTTACGTTTGATCGTGTGAATTGAGATCCCCACTGTCGAGGTAAACAATATTTACATGAGTGTAAAATCGTTAAGTCCTCTTGATTTGTATAGTAGGGGGATTTGTGAACCGTTCATGAAATCATATGATTTTGGTTGTATATTTTCTTCGTTTAGGTCAGCAGATAGCCACAGGTATACTATCGGGGATGCTGCTTGCCATGCTGTGTTTCATCCTGTGCAGATGTCGACCTCTCAAACAAGCCCATAAAGGTATCTAGTATCTATGTGCCTGCATCCAGATTCACACTCTTTCTGCTAAGGGGGCAATAGGGTAGCCTCGTGGTTATCGCGTTGGCTCGTCACGCCGAAGACCCGGGTTCGATTCCCCACATGGGTACAATGTGTGACGTCCAACTCTGGTGTCCCCCGCCGTGATAATGCTGGAATATTGCTAAAAGCGACGTAAAACCATACTCACTCACTTTCTGCTAAGTTTCTGCATTGGTTAGACTAATCTCCGAAAACTCCTTTATATCAGCACAAGACCTTTCGCCGTTCAACGGCTCTTCAGGTGTTTGATTGTACACAAGGACAAACGTATAACATACAGTATCATAGTATTACAATATAATGTGCTTCACAAAACAGTTCAGAACTACACGATTCTTTCTTATCGGTGTAGTGAATCCGTCATGGTTTGATGTTACTCAACGTTATACAGCATTTCAGCTATACCGTAGGAGCCTGTGACTCTTAACCTACAATTACCCTTTCTTGGTACCTTCAACTTTCATTGGGGGGCGGGGCGGTGGGGTAGCCTAATGGTTAAAGCGTTGGCTTGTCACGCCGAAGACCCGGGTTCGAATCTCCACATGGGCACAATGTGTGAAGCCCATTTCTGGTGTCCCCCGTCGTGATATTGCTGGAATATTGCTAAAAGCGGCGTAAAACCAAACTCAGTCAGTCAGTCAACTTTCATTGCTGAGAATTTATGTGCGTGTCCAGAAGGTATCTCGAACTATTTAAACGAGTTCATCACTCACATATAATTTTGTGTTTTCATTTAGTGTTTGATCCAGAAAAGAAGTCCTTAGTGGGTGACACCGACCTTGAATTAAAGGACACGAAAACGACCTCGAACTTAGAGGAATCCATCACCGAGGTCAAGGTTGACTTCTCACTTCGAGACCAAGAAAAAGAAGACGCTGTGTCGGATGATAGCGCTGTCGTCGCTGGATCCTCAGTTGAGAGCGTTAACGTGGAGAGTCTTCGGGAACACAAGCCTGACGGCTCCGATGATAGAGCCAAGGGCAACCATGGCCCAACATCCGACTCTCCAGAGCAAAGGGACGTAAGGTGTGACAGCAATGGCTCCAGTCAGGACACCCGCGGGATCAACCCAACGCTTGATGATCAATCAGCTGATATAAGACTTGCAATTGACAAGCCTTTCAGCAGTGTATATAAACATGCGGCAATGCCAAATAATGGCATTCGGTCACAAGAGGCATGAGATAGACACGTCAGGAAATAAGAAATTGACCAATCATGTCGACATGAAACAGGCTGATCCGAGTTTACCGAGCAGACAACGAGATATGACCCCACCATTGTGTTTGACAGGGATAATTTTACACCAGTTATTTCTACGACTTTTCGATATGTGTCCGTCTCCTCGCGGCAACTCGACCATTGGTTATAAGAAATTATTTAACGTATAATTGAATCAAACTACAGTGGATAATACGCTAATCAGAAGCCAAAGTAAATCCTCAACGATGCGACAATATATGTCAACCCACAGGCGGACAAGTTCCAAAGTTTACAAGTAGCGAAAAGCTCAAGGCAAAAGTTAATGTGAGACGTTCCTCAAGGTATAATGCGACCTGGCGTGACGTCAGTTACTGTAACATCACATGAACGCTAAATAATTTAAGGAAATTACATGAATGCTAACATCCTGTGCCAAAAGCGGACAAGTCGTCAATGGCACCACAGTTCAATGTGCAGAATTTCTGCGCAAGAGAAACCGATGAGCGCAGATTAAAATTCCCGATTTTCACGTATCTTGTTTATTTGTTAGTCAGTATTGTCGATGGAATTCTCTAAAGGGGCTTATGACAATGTAGTTGTGAAAGATGTGTTATGTCGGATGTAAACTTCGAGTATTTGAGAACAACAGATATACTAAATATATGCCTTAACATTCAGCCAACTGACAAGGCAAAGATGTGGAACCCAGAATCGCCACTTTTGAAAATAACTTCCCCCCCACCAACACTCCACCATGAAGAATTATAAAAGAGCCTATTTCTAAATATTTTGTCTTAGAGTTTCTCGTAAGACCAGTTACTTTGCACATTCGTTATTATTCGTTATTTATTGAATGAAGATCCGCCTCAATGCAACCCATGTCATGGCTAAATGAGTATTAATTATTATATTTGAATGTGTGGATTTTACACATATCGGACACCATTTAAGTGATAATGTTCCAGCCTCATGTGAACTTTTCATAACTGTTTCTAGCCCCTTGATTTTAGCATATTTAAATGAAATTAAACTATTCGACAAATTATAGTCACTTTTTACCCTTAAATGTGATATTTGACTGACATTTTAGTGATTTTGAATCAGTTTGATTGTATCTAATATACAGTAAACCACAATACATTTCTCGCCACCAGTAGCTCCAAACTTACTAATGCGGCGTTAAACAATATTTACTCACTCACTCATTGACAGTTGTCCAAGCTTTACGAGGATCGAGTTACACCTGTTTCAATGGTTCTGTTAACTCAAAACCTGGAATACATTTAAACCTTTCTTACGTTCTGTTTTCATTCAACTAGGTCGAGGGGCGGTGGGGTAGCCTAATGGTTAAAGCGTTGGCTCGTCACGCCGAAGACCCGGGTTAGAATCCCCACATGGGCACAATGTGTGAAGCCCATTTCTGGTGTCCCCCGCCGTGATGTTGCTGGAATATTGCTAAAAGCGGCGTAAAACCAAACTCAGTCAGTCAGTCAGTCAACTAGGTCGAGGGGCGGTGGGTTAGCTTAGTGGTTAAAGCGTTCGATCGTCATGCCGCAGACCGGGTTCGATTCCCCACGTGGGTACAAAGTGTGAAGCCCATTTCTGGTGTCCCCCATCGTGATATTGCTGGAATATTGCTGAAAGCGGCCTAAAAATAAACTCACTCACTCGCTCAACTGAGTCGATGGTCCTGCTGGTGGAATTACGTCCCCGAGATTAATCATATGCTCAGTAGCATATTTAATCATGCAAAGTCAAATACAAAAAATATGTTTGGACGGAGACTGACTCCCAATCTGTTGTATGTCAAATCTGGTTCCCAAACGTTTTTCTTCATTTACAAACATGAGAATCTCTCAACGTCAGCACAGCAGCCCAAATTATGGGTTCAACGATCACTTGATTGTATGGGTCCCGATCCACACAACGTTCTCAGCGCTACTACATTCGAAAGCCTGTGATAAACTATAGTATTACGACAGGTCGTAACGTTACGAAAACTGTGGTTCGGGACCCACCGTCACATGATAGGTGTATTGTGCGGCATCAGGCTAAAATACCTCACTTTTAGGCAGATTTAGTGAATGGCAAATGCTACCGCTTCTGCAGGACAGGCTTACCCTTTTGCAAACACCTGGTGTCATCACATTCAGTGATCTATTCATATAGTTTTTGCAGCTATTTTCCCTTTACACTAAAGGAATTTGTTTTTGAGGGTGTTCTCTCGCACTTCAAGTTTCCCCAGAAATTATTGAGAAACTCTTTGTTTCCTAATACCGATAATAGAATGTAAAATTGCTGTTACATTATGTTGTAAGGTACTCAATATGGATGGGAGGCAAACCTTGTAGGCTTAAGAATGAACCTTACTACATCAAGAGTTATCTCCCCTGGTGTAGTAGACTGCTTCCTTTGTTGAAATGTCACATTTGACAGTAGAATTGAAAAGAAAGCTGGTTCAAGATGAATTTGGAAGGGTGTGACTATTGAAAAAGAGTTAGCTGGTAGATATGACATTCCTCTGTCTACAATATACAGGAGATGGGATTGAGCACAAGACAGGGACAGGGTGGCCAAGGAAGTTCAGTAGGCTACCGCGGATTGACGGCGATTTGGTCAGATTGTGAATTAGGGGAAAATTGAAAAACGTTGAGAATGTCAGAAACGAGATGATTAATAGAGGAAGTCCTCAGGTATGTAATGAAACCCTAAGACAAGAATTACATAGACTTAACTGGGTGAAAAAGCGCGGAATTCATTCCCTCACCATTGATGAAAGATCAAGATTGGGATAATGTTTTCATTTCTGAAGAAAGTTCTGTCTGGCTTTGTCCCAACTGTGTGAAAATGTGGACAAAAGATACTGTGAAACCTATCTACCAAGGCCAAAAAACATGGCCAGAAATTTCAGATTTTCGGGGTGGGATATCATCACGTGGAGTGACAACGTTGTGTATTTTCAATGGAAACTCGACGAAGGAACGATATATTGACATCTTGAATGATCACCTCCTTCCAACGGCCCGAACACTGAATGAAGATAATTGGATTTTCCAGCATGATAAAGACCCCAAACACACTGATGGCTACACAAAACAGTGGTTGTCGGACGAAATTGTTTACGTTTTAGACTGGCCCAGCTACAGCCCAGCCTTACCCTATTGAGAATGTGTGGGGACTAATGAAGGACCGAATAAACCGAAAAGAACTTAAATATTAGAAAGGACTCGAAATATTGAGGAAATGAAGAAAGAAGTGGTCAAATCTTGAGATACGCTGTCACACGATTTCCTACAAACTTTGATGGGTAGTGTACCAAGGCATATTCAGTCGTGTATTGCAGGACAAAGAGGTCTCACAAAGTACTGAAACGACAGACTGTAAGAGAATCAAATCTCAACATATTTATTTTAGTAAAACTCTATAGTTTATGTATTAGATATTTGCCTAAATAACCTTTTCAACAATTTCTGGGAATACTATATGTTCTGTTTCATAATTACATAAGCGAAATAAATACATTGTGAATTCAACAAATATGTCTCAGACACGTGACAAATATGTGCGTTTGTAGTGGAACACCACACAAATATTCCCTCCGTTTAACAGCGAGCTGTAAATAAGCGAGCCAGACTAGGCAATCACATGACTGATATCTTGTACAACAAACTCAAGACCAGCATAGGCTGCGTGGGAGCAGTTCTAATCCATCGCCACCCATTGAAGAAAACATCCAATATAACACCAATATTGATCTCCATTGGCTCCCAGTACAAGCTGGAATCAAATTCAAAGTTCTATCCCTGACATACAGCTGTTGCCATGACGTTGCACCAGCATACCTGAAAGAACTTCTCCAGAAATATACTTCAAACGAAACTCTAAGATCCGACGATCAACCACTACTCAAGATCAATCTCATATCCTTCGGCCAGAGATCATTCTCATTCTGTGCTCCTTCTCTGGAGCTGTCTTACTTTGATATCAAAACCTTCCCATCTTTAGCTGTCTTCAAGTCCAAACTTAAAACCCATCCCTTCTCCAAGTTCTACCTTTGAGACCTGCGCTTTGAGCAACCGCAATGGATGGAAAACAGCGCATAACAAATGCACTTATTTCTTATGTTTTACAGATTAAAAATAGTATGCAGCATATTGGGATCAGGAGATCCTGGCACAGTCAGGCTGGTACGGCTCATCATCAGCTCAGGGCCCTTGCCCGCTCTACACCTAGCCCAAACAGCTAATGGGACATCTCCAAGGAAATGCTGCCAAGTCGAACCCACGGACAATTTCGGAAAACGCCCAGCATATTTTGATAAACGTGAGCTTGGGCTCAATAGAACGCTGTGAATAAATCAATGGTTTGACCTCATTCAGGCTAAAGCTTACTGAATCAGGGGTTGTGTTGCTCACGCGTACAGGGCACAGGTACATTGTTCGCTCAGAGTGAACACTGTTTCATTAATATAATAATATGACAACCTGATAGCTGAATGCTTTTAAGATGAAATTCATTCAATAAATTTCATATGTTGACAACTTAACCGAAAAAGATTATTGAAAAATGTTACTCAGAATGTTTGTATGTATGTATGTATGTATGTTTGTATGTATGTATGTATGTATGTATGTATGTATGTATGTATGTATGTATGTATGTATGTATGTATGTATGTATGTATGTATGTATGTATGTATGTATGTATGTATGTATGTATGTATGTATGTATGTATGTATGTGTGTATGTGTGTGTGTGTAATGAATGTAAGATGAAAGAGAGAGAGAGTGTGTGTGTGAGAATATTTTATGTGAAGAAAGTAGTCACTTGAATGATGGATATATGACAGCTTACATTGCTACTAGTTTATTGTTAACGTACAATAGTTAGTACCTAACTGTCCTTAAAACGAGCGCAATAGGTGAGGATACAACGAGTGATTCCCATTTGAATGCGTAATACTATTTGCCCGATAAAAGTTATTCTATAGCTAGCCCAGGCGTTGAATAGACGATTGCCTTCGCTATTTACGTACACTGAGTGGTGATCTTGAAAGTCGATACGACAGATTGTGATACGCTAGGACAAATTCGAAACGGGTCTAACATTTTAGTTATGCGGGAGAATCTATGCGGCACAGGTTTGCTCAAACATATTCCCTACAAACGGAGAAACATTGTCTGATGATTAGATGAAGTAGCATAAGAATGACAGATTTCAGGATGAAGATTGTTGTGTGGGCTGTCTATCTTAGCATCGCAGGAACTGTAGGCTGGGGTCGAACCAAATGTTACGAAGATCATTGTAACGAGAAGAGATGTCAGATTTGCGAGGATATGAAACAGCACTGCAGTCCTGACTACACGTCACCCAAATGTGATGGATTTTGTAAAGGTGAATTTTTTTTTTTTATGCTTATAAATTAATTCATTTCTGCTAATGATTTGATAATGATTTGATTAAAGAAAAACAATTTTGACAGCTAACTATGGGCGTTTTATGTTCAAGGCTGTCACACAAAAGATAGATGGAAATGATATCCTCTGATGTAAGGAACCGTTAATAATATATGGCTGGGGATTTTGAGGGGATGATTTTATGGAGAAGCATGTACAATGAGAATTCCCCCAAAGATGTACAAAAAGTAAGTTAACCCACCACCACCACCACCAATCCCCACCCCCATGTATGTTATGTACAAAAAAGGTTCGTCTGGGTGAAGACTGTATTTACTGGGGTCGTGATATAGCTTTATTTCTGACTAAAGCATTCAATACCACGCAATAATTCATTCTATTATATTTCATATTTTCTTGTTGCTTTTCAGCCCTGGAAGTAATTGGTAACAAAACGCAAAGCCGTGTTCATTACATGGAATTACCATCAAAGGTTGACAAAAGAAGAATGTGGAAACAACAAAATGATCTTGCTAAAACACGACGTGATTTTGAAACAGTAAGCAAAACTTTAAATGACGCCAAGGAGTCCATCAAAAGTCTCATAAATGAAAATAATTATTTGAGAAATATTATCTCAGATCCAAAGGAAATGCTTTTCTATAAGCCAAATGACCAAACCTAAGACGGAAGATGTGACTGCCGTATCCAAGAAGATTCCCTGAGTCGATGTTGGACACAACTAAAGGAGCAGTCAAGCCGAACAGATGTGCTGATTGGTAACGTAATAGGTAAGATCATCTTTTCGTAAGGGATCGGTAATTTAATAGGTAAGGTACAGAGAGCATTAGCAGAGGGTGTTTCAATTTCGTAAGGCCTCATACATTATATATACCAGCAATGAACAAATTATTAATTAAAACAATTGGAAGCTTCATTTCGTAGAGTATCGGTAATTTAATAGGTTATACAGAGAACATTAGCAGGTGTTTCAATTTCGTAAGACCTCACATATCAGAAATGACAACATCATGAAGCAATTATGAGCCCCATTTCGTAAGGTATCGCTAATTTGATAGGTAAGGTACAGAGAGCATTAGCAGAATGTGTTTCAATTCTGTAAGGCCTCACATATCAGCAATGACAAACATTATTAAACAATTGGGAGCCACATTTCGTGAGGTATAATTAATAGGCAGAAAAAGATAAATATATCCCCGTAATTGTGATGTTTACATTTCTTGATAACAGTTGTGTTTTTGTTTGATGCCGTACTCAGAAATATTCCTGGTGTATGGCGGCAGTTTGTAAATAATCGAGTCTGGGTTTCTGGATAGTAATGTTTCTTCTTGATAATATATACTTGATGGAATGAATATGGAATATACCTGAAGTAAGTGTTCCTTTTATTCTTTCCAGGTTTCTTCACAAGCTTTGTATTGCACTGTGGGTGAAATTCTGAATGGAATAAAGGAACACTTGTACTTTTAGGTGTTCCTGCATTCGTTAACATGAGTATATGTTATCATATAAGGGCTGTGGGTTTTGACGGACTGATAATTTATTTATTTATGAACATTAATGAACTGTGAACATTAACAGAACAAACAACATGTTAAGGTAGACACTGTAGAATGATTCTGTTCTATGTTTAAGAGTCCCACAGAAACGGGGACGTTTCTTATTCTGTCAAAATATGTTCTTTCTCTCGGCTATGAAAATGACCAGGCATTTTACATTCAGAAACCAGAAATTGCATAGAAGACTTTGTATTTTCACTAAAAGTTTAACTAATTTATGTATGGTATTGTAAGCACAAATAAGTAAACAACGGTTATAACCAACTCAACAGGACCACCTATTATACTATTAATTGGATTTTGTTATACGCATAGGATTAAAAGAACCAGCAAGCGTAAAACACGCAACATGTAACATGTATTTGCCTATATGTATGTATGTATGTATGTATGTATGTATGTATGTGTGTATGTGTGTATGTGTGTATGTATGTATGTATGTGTATGTATGTATGTATGTATGTATGTATGTATGTATGTTTGTATGCATATGTATGTATGTATGTATGTATGCATGCATGCATGCATGTATGTATGTATGTATGTATGTCTCTGTGTGTGTGTTCTGTGTGTGCCTGCCTCTCTGTCTGTCTAGTTTTCAGGAGAAACAGAGAGACAGAGTGATAGAGAGAGAGGGGAGGAGAAAGATGAAAGAGAGGGAGCGAGTACACTGCTGCCTAAAAGTACATACCCCTATGTGTGTGCGGATGGATGGCTGGATGCATTCATGGATGGATGCAACTGTTTAATGTATTCCGACCGCCTACCTCTGAAGGCCACGGGATCGAACCCCGGTCGCGTCATGCAAAATACGTTAAAATATGGTACTTGCTGGTCCCTGCCTGGCGCTCGTCATTAATGGGTACAACAAGGACTGATCGGCTCGGAGTGAGTATAATGTGTCTGAGTGGGGTATTCATGCTTAACTGTTACATGGTATCTTAGTGAGCTAGCATTTATAAAACCAGCTTAAGTCTGGGGTAGTACAAGCAGCCACACATACACACGCATGCACGCGTCGTCTTATGAGCGAAATATTCTCAAGTGCGACGTTAAACCCCATTTCACCTCATCTTTTGCATTCCCTGTTCCAGATGTATGCCGACATGAACTGCTTACTGCTGCTATCACTGGCGTGCGTTATAATATATCTCTGATGTACACATCCAAGCCTTCATCCAATCAAAACCACCTGATGTACAAATCCAAGTCTTCATCCAATCAAACCGCCTGATGTTCAAAACCAAGCCTTTCATCCAATCAAACCGCCTGATGTAATACATCCAAGTCTTCATCCAATCAAACCGCCTGATGTACAAATCCAAGCCTTCATCCAATCAAACCGCCTGATGTACACACACATCCAAGCCTTCATCCAATCAAAACCGCCTGATGTACACATCAAAGCCTTCATCCGATCAAACTGCCTGATGCGCCGAACGTGTCCGCTTCATTTGCAAGTGAAATGATGGAGCCCATAATCACGGCTATGGTCGTAATTGCACAAAAAATATGTGATCTGTGAGAACCCGAACATCATGAATCTCTGGCAACTCTTAAGGAGGTAACCCTGTTCGACAGTTACAGCTGGATTAATCTGGTGATATCGGATTCCATGTTGTAATCCGAGCTTGATGCATGTGTGACAAGGGCAAATTCTTCTTGATTCTTGTCGACATAGATGATTGTTGTTACCACACATCGTCCCTGTATAACATAATGATATGGTATGATAACAACTAATCTATTCTGATATGAAGAATGCTTCATGCCATTCTCAGGGAGGATGCATATTTAGCACCAGATGACTCATGGCAAAATGTGCAATGTCACACACATAGAGAATACTACATTCGAAGTTCACATACGAATTATACGAAACGAGGTCAGAAACCATAGGAAGGTCACGAGTTTCGTATAATTCGTATGTAATGAGACCGAGTGTGGTATTTTATTTATTACCAACGTCTTAATGCATTAAATTGACAAAAAATAACGTATTTTTGTTATTGTTATGGTTTCAAACCGAAACCTGTTTCTTACAAAGAGGTTGCGGAAGAATTTTGTTCTCTAGTCACTCCTTTGCATGACGTCCCCATAACTGACGTCAATGATGCATGTCAGTTGTCATCGCCTCTGTACAGCCTCCTACAGTAAACTACCTCCGCAGCACCCTTTTCCTGGTTTGCAATTGCTTAACCTCGGCTAACATCACTGGTGGAAACATTGCGTTTATGGCTTTTCGACGGATATAATGTCTCAGTTCGACTCACAATTATACAGCGTGGGATACGGCAACGTTCGCAATGTTTACATTCCCACCGTAGTGCATGTAAGTTGTAGAATGAATGAATTCACGTGTTTGTTATGAATGAACAAGTAGTTTCGTCACAACGTGACCTAATTGAGAGGTCATCGGTTATCCAATCAAATCGTTAGAATCTCAGGTCAAGTCGTTACGACAATATGGTCAACGCGATACGACACTCGTGTGACTTCAGCATGAGATTAGTATGCAACTACCCCTTATGTTGACCACGTGGGTAATAAAAGTTTATTTGAGCTTGGTCGTATGGATGGGATATATGCAATACATCTGAAGAATCTTAAATCGTGTGGGTGGTCCCTTTGAAAACACTGTGTCTGTGGTGTTTTTATAACCGAGTATTTATATTTTGTTACATACTAGTATTAAACAACCTACTAACTTTAAACAACATGATACTTTTTAAACGACATACTTTGCTTTACACAACAACGTCAGTGCTTCATGTAGTCCAGTTAGTTTCCTCTCTTTAATGGGCAGGTGGGGTATAGCCTAGTGGTTAAAGCGTTCGCTCGTCACGCTGAAGACCCGGGTTCGATTGTTCTACATGGGTACAATGTGTGATGCAAACCCATTCGGTGCCCCGCCGTAATATTGATGGAATATTACTAAAAGTGACGTAAAACTAAACTCACCACTAAAAACTCCTTTGATGACAGCATGATTCTTGTCACGATGAGTCTAAAATACAGCTGAAGTGACTCATTCATGCGTTCTCCCCAATTAGGATACAATGACTTAATATAGTCAGAATTGTACTATCGAGTCTGCTTTTAGTAGAGATTTCTTTATGGATGTGAAAGGGTTTTGTCGATTTCTTGAATAAAAATATATTCTTGTCTGTAACTAGAATATAAAAGCTACAAACAGGTTCCAGCAGCTTGCATAATAGCAGTGTCTTCCTCTAACTTGTTAATCATCATAATCTGCCCCCGTAGTCTTGTGGACCGTTGGGGCGCCACAGGTGATCTGGGGAACCAGCATCCTCCAATCCCTCCTCGGTTTTCTGACCTGATTGTATCTCTCAACCTCAAGCCTTCAAGTCCATTCTGGGATGTTGTCCTCCCATCTCTTCTTCTGTCTGCCTCCTTCTCCCTCTTTGCACTGTGCCCTGCAGGAAATGACTTGGCAAGCCCTGATGATCTCATGACATGGCCATACCCATTTAAGTTTGCGTCTCTTTGACCAAGGTCAACAGGTCTTCGTAGGGCCCAACGACTGCTCTGATTCTGTTCCGAACTTCTTCGTTCGTGATATGATCTTTTGTAGGAGATGCCCAGGAGTCTTCGAAAGCATCTCATCTCAGTGGATCTGTATTCTATTCAGCTGTTGAGATCCACGATTCACATGCATACAAGAGTATTTATGCTCACCAGGGTACGCATCATTCTGATCTTTGAGCCGAGTGCAATGTTCCGGTCGTTCCAGATGTACCCTCAAGTTTTGTGAGCGCTGCTGTCGCTCCAAAAATCCTGAGAGTACTTTGGGGTTTGGATCCCTCATCTGTCACAATTGGGTTCTGGTATTTAAAACTGTGGACAGTTTCTAGCTTGGCCATCCACTCTTATGTTAATCATAGTTCAATCAAAATATAAATCGTAAAATGTATAATATTTGCAACATATTTGCACAATCTTTTTTCACTGCCAAACACATTGTATGTATACTGTAATCAACACTGTAATCCTACTTTGTTGCCATAATGAAAAAGTTCTGTATCTCGGACTCTCATTATTTCGGATTTCGACCAAAGTCGTCGGGCCCGATAAGGTAGTTACCGCACGTAAAACATTGCTATATAATCCGGACTGAGCAGGAGATCAACTTGACCAATAAACCTTTGAATAAACAATCCGTTGATTGGTATTTGTATTGTGGCCCTTATTTTACTTAGCAGGAAGTCCGCCCGAAGCCAAGACCGCTTCGCGGTCTAGCGGTGAACGCTTTATTTACCTATGATGCGGTTAACACTAATTGATGATCATGTAAACTCAGTGTCAATGTCACTGTCGCGCATTTGAGAGGCCTTCAGATACAGTGTGATATCAAATCAGGTCAAAATGCACAAAATGCACAATCGTATGGTCGTCAAAGGAGAGCAATAAAATCATTAAAATCTGTGTACCTCGGACTGATGTCTAATTCAGACTTTTTAGTCGGTCCCAAGCCGGTCCGAATTAGACAGAGTGCACTGTATATGTTTCCACACTGGCAAGTTTCCCGTCTAATTTGTACATTCCCATTATGTAATATTATGTTTAACTGTATTAAACTCACTCACTCACTCACTCACTCACTCACTCACTCACTCACTCACTCACTCACTCACTCACTCACTCACTCACTCACTCACTCACTCACTCACTCACGGACGGGTCTGTCAGTCAGGTCAATTTAGCTTCACACAAAACCATGCGCAATGATACATAGAAATACATAGAAATATGCTACAGAGTGCTTGAATCGGCTGTGGCCAAAGCACATATAAAATAGTGAGTATTCCAAACGCATTAATCAACATGCGCTATTACTCAGTTGCATTTGTGACGCCATTTCATTGCCTGCTTGCTCCATTATTTTCTCAGGAATGGAACGAGTTTCAAATGCAAGACGTTGATAGTTCGTTTACATTTGGCTTATCCAATTACCAATACTTTGAATGTAATTTAAGTAGGGTAGTAATGTCCTCATAACTCTCCATTTCCTTTAAAATTCGGACCTTTTACCCCTCTACGTTATATCCGCCATAAATGATATCTCTATGCAGGTGCATAAAGATCGACCACGACTTATTGTAAAATTGTGAACCAAACATACTCTCATTTGTGAACCTTTTGAATAGCCGCAGCATGTATAAAGATCCTTTTCAATGTAACAATTCACAAATGCTTCTTGTATTTCCTCCTTTGTCAAGACAAATAATGCTGGTATCAAATTCATATGACGAGTAAACATAACGTTTGTCTTTTCAATTCCCCTTGGTTCCTCCTATGTGAATAGCCGTTTTAGCTTTATTGCTATTTACTTGACTACACAGCCGATGGCCGGCAAGCAAACATTCTGTACCGAATTTGTTTGCAATCACTCTTGTTAAATGTGTAATATCGCTATTTCAAAACTCATAATAAAATCAGCTTAGAGATGTTTCTTTCAGTTTAAACAGTGGCAGTTTGTGCGTGTTTTTGATAAATGGGTGGTTTCCATATAAAAATCATGAAAATATAACTGAAGTAGACAATGTATACGTTAATTAAAGAGCCATGAAATATCCATTTGCGTGAGCACAATAGTGCTTACTACTTGCTGGAGACAACCCTTCTTAATACAGATTAAGCACGTCACATGTGATGACTCTGGTGGAACAGAATACGCTCACCATTTCGCGAATTCAAGCAACCATCATCATTTCATATAGTGATTCATACACACATGGCATCGCCTGGTGACAATCACTGGATTGTCTGGTCCATACTGATTTGTTTACAAACAGCATAGTACAACTGTAATACTTGCTAAACAAATATATACAGCTAATGATAGAGTCTCAATTGTACAATCGACTCTGCAGAGATTTCTTATGATCGTGGGAAAGGGTTTTGTGGCTTCTATTCTATTTGAGAAATAATCGCAGAAAGTCCCAGTAGGTTATGGAAACTTCAGAGGCAGGGTTTCCTACTATTATTTAAACCTGTAACAATGTCTTAAGTGATAATCAGTACCCTACACAGATGTAGGATTACATCGTGATGCATAGATGACAAGAAGTGACTAGTAACTGTAATATTATGCACTCGCCTGAAAAATAAGGACTGTTGCTGTGTGTTTTTTGCATAAACCGAACCTCATTATTTAAAAACTAGTACGAAAACGCAGTTGTTTTTAACAGTAGTACATATATGTATTCGTTTAATGGTTAGTTTTTACATTATACCCCACCGGAACGTTTGTGCTTTTATAGATTGTTCAAAAGCGTTTGAAACTAGCTTCGTATAATATAGAGGGCAATTCCTTCAGATAAGTTAAAAACATGTAAATCAACGTCAAATCATCTGCAATCTCAAATTACTTGATCTGCAACACAGACGTTAGACAAGGAGAGACAATTCTCTATTTATCTCAACGACTTGAAAAGTTGTCTCCCCGACCGTGGTTGTGAAGGTGGTAGTCTCAGTAATGAGTGCTCTTATTATGTTAATAATATGCTACTTTTACAATTTATAATCTTACTTTATACTGACGATACAGTTATTTTAGTCAATAGTCTTCATAAATCCCTTAATTAGTGTTACGAATACCGCACTACTTCGAAACTTGAATCTCGAAAAATAAAGAAAGATTGTTATGTTTGGTGGTGGCGTAAGCAACTTTTGTGCAGTGATGAGTGTAACGTCATTTTGACAATTAGTAAAGTGTCCCCTACTTCGAGTTAGTTTCTAAAATTCTATTATTCATAGTTCTCATTTGGAGACAGACGTACTATGAAAGGATTTTATCATTTAAGTGTGTTTTCTTAGATTTTGAGCGGAAACATTGAGTTAGATTCAAGTGGCGTTTAATTTTGCGGATTAGACATGTGTCATAATGTCCCTTGTACCCAAACCCGTTTTCGGTATAATGAAGTACATGTTAGTTGTGTATGTATGCACATATCTACAAATATGATGGGTAATATTCATTTCATGACGTCTTATTCAGTTTATGTCCGATCCTCAATAGAATGTAATCAGTTGCAATGGAGATGAGGGTATACTTCAAGGGTTCAAATATAGCAAATGTCTTTATGTAATGTCATAGGTTTATTGACATGACATTATCAATCAATCTCAGTCATCTTACCATCCACGCATAGATTTCAATGAGGGAATACTGTTTTTTTACCCTATGAGCTTCCTCCGTTCTTTTATAAGTGTGTCAAGTTTGAAAAAAATATTTAAATACAGAATGTCAATGGAGAAGAATACCCAGTCTTGATTCTCCACAGAAACAAATACTGTTCGGTGTAAAGGGAAAATAGCTGTGAAATATATATGAATGGAACATTGAAAATCAGTGATGACACCAGGTGTTCGCGAAAAGGGTAAACATGTCCTGTCCTACCGGTAGCACCCGTCATTCACACAATATGCCTACAATTTGTCTGATGCTGCACAGCAGTTCTCATGTATGTCCAGAAACCAGACAATCAAGTGATCGTTGAAGCGGATAATCCAGTATATTCCTTTTATCGTTTGTAGTTGACCCAGCCCAGTTTGACATACAACATATTGAATCTCCGGGACCACATTCCACCATAGGCTTGAGGTCTATGTGCAGTGATGTGATAAAGTTATGCAGCTGAAAATATGCTCTATACAAAGTCGTTTTGTGTCAGCGACAGTGTGTTTGATCTAAGGCGTGGTCTAAGGTGCCAGTATGATAAAGTATTTAATATCCTGAATACAAATATGAACGATGATATCAGGTGTTCGTGTATATACATATATATATATAATAGATCACAGGTCTATTACAAACTGTTCGGTAGTTGCTGTTTGCATTTGCACGGTTCCAGAGTAATTTCTTAAAGAGTTGTTTACCTTTGGTTAACGTGGCGGGCAACAGCAAAATCGAATGTTTGTTGAAGTCGCAAATATTTATTTCGGCCCTGAAATGCAGAGGGCGGTTCACTGTTAAATGTGCTGCTGTCATGTAGCGTAACCGATGGGGAACTCGAGAACAGTGTTCCGTGATTATTCTCTTCAGGTGAATAATCTGATTGTTTGCCACGAATAGATAGTTTGCAACGGTACCACTGGTATTCCATATCAGATTGTATCACACGCGATATTGGTGTCAAATTGCTAAAAGCGGCAAAACGAACTCACTCACTCACCCAAGATTGAATGATTATGGAAACGTGTCCATGTTACATTGTTTGCAAACGCTTGTTTAATACATCAATATTTCACATGTGATTGTTGATACAATACATGAAATTTACTTAATATCGCATACAGAAATACAGAAAATATATCGAACGTGTACATGTTTGTCATAGTAAAACGCTGACTGTATGTCCCGACCGTAAGGTAAGCTCATGTTTGGAGTCGGGTGTTTATGGTCAACTAAGTGGGCATTGATCTCAAAACAGTCGTCATTGTGGTCAACTAAGTGGACAATGGTCTCAAAACAGTCGTCATTATGGTCAACAAAGTGGACATTGGTCTCAAAACAGTCGTCATTATGGTCAACTAAGTGAACATTGGTTTCAAAACAGTCGTCATTATGGTCAACTAAGTGGGCATTGGTCTCAAAACAGTCGTCATTATGGTCAACTTAGTGGGCATTGGTCTCAAAACAGTCGTCATTGTGGTCAACAAAGTGGACATTGGTCTCAAAACAGTCGTCATTATGGTCAACTAAGTGGGCATTGGTCTCAAAACAGTCGTCATTATGGTCAACTAAGTGGGCATTGGTCTCAAAACAGTCGTCATTATGGTCAACTAAGTGGGCATTGGTCTCAAAACAGTCGTCATTATGGTCAACTAAGTGGGCATTGGTCTCAAAACAGTCGTCATTATGGTCATTAAGTGGTCTCCGTAAGGTAAGCATGTTTGGAGTCGGTGGGTCAACTTGGGCATTGATCTCAAAACAGTCGTCATTGTGGTCAACTAAGTCGACAATGGTCTCAAAACAGTCGTCATTATCGTCATTATGGTCAACTAAGTGGGCATTGGTCTCAAAACAGTCGTCAGTCATTGGTCAAACAGTCGTCATTGTGGTCAGCTAAGTGGGCATTGGTCTCAAAACAGTCGTCATTATGGTCAACTAAGTGGGCATTGGTCTCAAAACAGTCGTAAGTGGACAAAGGGGCATTGGTCTCAAAACAGTCGTCATTATGGTCAACTAAGTGGACAATGGTCTCAAAACAGTCGTCATTATGGTCAACTAAGTGGACATTGGTCTCAAAACAGTCGTCATTATGGTCAACTAAGTGGGCATTGGTCTCAAAACAGTCGTCATTATGGTCAACTAAGTGGGCATTGACGCACGGGGTTTGCAGTTATAATCATATGATATGAATTTCAGAATTAGAAAGGTCAAACAAGTCTAGTCACTTTTAGTTGAATACAACCTTAAGTCAATTCTGGAACAGCAACTGCAGAAAGACGTTAACACATAATGGACTGCACCATTAATATGCAAATGCACCATTAATATTATAACATATGCAAAACGTGACAGGTCAGACAGATCACGGTGCTATTAAACCAACACAATTCAGAGCCCCTTATTAACGTAAGAACAATACAGTGAGTGAGTGACATTAGTTTTTTAAATCGTATTCAGAAATATTCCAGCAATAACACGGCGGGGGACACTAGAATTGGGCTTCACACATTGTACCAATGTGGGGAATCGATCCGGGGTCTTCGGCGTGACGAGCGAACACTTTAACCACTAGGCTACACTACAGCCTCAAGAACAATACACAGAAATGACCTCAATATAAGGTAGTTCTTACCACATGAGACACGTTTGGACATGAGTCACGGGGAATGCAAGGCATTTCAATGAGCTTGCAAACAAAACCTGACACCGGTTAGGACTATAGACGATGGTACACTTAAACATATCAAAGAAGCCCTGAGTTATTAAAGGGACTTGTACTCGGTGAACTGGGAGTGTCTTGTTCATATGTTTTTTCAATAGAATGATCTTACCTGATCACCAGTCCCCAGTACAAATAACACGTTAAACAAGTATTGACTGGTAGATAGGATGTACATATGTTATATGTAACTCGCGCAAACTTTCACCTTGTTCAGATTCAAAATTTGGTGTTGCACTACATTTCATGTAAAACATATTCAAAAGAGTCGTGTAGTTTGAAAATGTCATGACACAAATGATATTATCATTAATTAAAGTCGTTTTTCTCTGTGTTGATTTCATGTTAAAATATTTATACTAAAGGGCAAAAGAAATGATACCAAGTTGAAATCACTGATATTATAAATCAAGATACCACCATTGTGAAAAAGGACAGTGAATTTTAACATGTGTATGGGCAACATGCACTCAGTCATTTCAGTGGAGTAGTAACAATAACAAGTCCATTGAGTCGCTGTATTAATGAAGGAATGAAGTGTCCAGTATTCACAGATGTAAACAAAACTACACCCGTGGTCAGTATCTGGTATGTCCACCGTGGGCATCAATGCAAACCCTAACTCTACGACGTGCAGAGGACGTCAGACGCTGTATACCTTGGGCAGGGGTCCTTCACCATTCCTCTTGAAGGGCTTAGATAAGCTGACGTCGGTTTCCAGGAACAAAGGCTCTAGCGCGAATCTGATGATCCAAATGGTCACACAAGTGTTCAGTTGGTGACATGTCAGGTGACCTGGAGGGCCAAGGAAGCACATTGACGTTGTTTCCCTGGAGAAAATCCATGACAATATGTGCAGTATGAGGACGGGCGCTGTCCTGCTGGAACATGATCCGGTTACGGCGCTGACGTAGGAATGGTAGCGCAACCGGACGCAGAATTTGATCAATGTATCGTTGAGCAATAAGATTACAATCCACGACAACAAGATCTGTCTTCATATTGTCACATATGCCGCCAGCAAACGGTTCCACTTTGGGGTTGTGTGCACTCTTATACCCAAAAGATGCACGTGTTTCATGCAATCCGTTCACGAGAGTTTCGTGCTTCACGACCTGTTGCAGTGATACTGTTCGCCCAAGCAAAACATTTTTCATGACAAATGTTAGGGAAGCGTTGTGGCGATTGTTTTAAGCTCATAACTACCTCCACAATTTGAGTTCGAGTCCAAATTATCAAATTCAATTTTGGTATTGTTTTTTTTTTTGCCCGTTAGTTTACTTTGGCAAAGATTTCGTCGTAAAAGACGTCAGTTTGAGTCTATATTGGTCGGTCTGCGGGTAATTTACACTGTTTTGCCCTGTGTGTGTTCGTTCAATTCTGTGAGGAAATTACCGAACATGTTCCCATGGGTCTGAGAGTTATATACTCAGCGAAAAGGAGACGCAACAGTATTTTACATATGTATACATTATGTATTGTATATATAATCAGAAGAGCATCTGTATTTGTTCAAATTTGGCACCCCATTGCCACTGAACTAGGTTCAGTATGGCACATATCGAATGTCAAGGTGAAGGTCATATCATGACCCCATGATAAACCTGAACTGTTTGGCACTTGCTCCATGGAACCAGTCAGATCACGAATTGTGGCCTAGGGGGATGTTCACTAAACCAAGCATGTCTCAATCTTTGCTGTGGCTATACATTGACGTCGCAGATGACGATGACGTCGGTGAGAATGACGTCTTGAACGATTACCTGTGATGCCACGTCGCATGTCTGCGGCTGGCGATGTTTCGTTAAAGAAATCCAGGAACGTTAATTTACCTTTGAATTGCCTTTTAGATGCAATTGATGTTATGGTTGTTCCAATACGCTTGTATGGCTCAGAGATATATGGACACGAGAACTTAGAAATCATAGAAAGAATTCACATAAAATGTCTTACATTAGCTTCCGGTTTGAGAAATAGCACCCCAAATTATATGCTTACTTTGAATTTTGAAGACAGCCTATTAGTATCAAAATCTATAAGGGATTTATTTCACATTGGCATGAATTAGCCTCTGAGAACACATATTGGAAGCCATCCCAGATTATATATAACTGTGTTAAACACACCTGACAATACAAATAAAATTCCATGGTTACGTTTTGTGAAACACACCTTTGATAACTGTTTCTAAATCAGTCTCGACGCCCTGGCTTGTTTCAATGGTCGAAAACACCTACAGAGCCCAGTTTTTTCCAAAATTGGAAGTCTGATGTTGAATCAAGTTGCAAGGGGGATTATTATTAATATTTCAAAACCCAACCGATCTTAGAAAAATATCTTCTTCGAAATGCATTTCAACGAAAAAGTTGTCAGAAAGTGGCTCCAGTGCGGAGAGTTTCTGGACTTTTGGGTGTCCAGAATTAAATTGTGACGTGCTCTCTATATATTTTGTAGACATTCTCGTTGTTGGTGGATACATTGGGCACAATGACGAAATATGACATCTGAACGGGTCCCTTGATATGGAAGAAGAAATAATCCTATTTTAACACAATCCTGATTACCAAACTTACCAAACTCTCTATTCTCTAGAAACCGCCAACGGCGGTACATCAGATAAGCGTATATACATTTACATAATATACAAGACAGCAGCTTACAAGATGACAAGATACAAGATAACAAGAATATTTCATTTTTTAAATGCATTAAATATGTAATTCAGTAATTTAGAAAGGCATTTAAGGTCGCTTATGCTGGTAGTAGACAAGAGTTTCTTGAAAATGGACACATTTGGAAATTCTATGTATTTAGTGTTCAGAGACTGACGTCGCAGTTGGAGAAAAGCTTCACATCTAAACAAGTTGTGAAACTCGTCTCCAACAGTGTTTGAAACACAAAGTGGACATTGTCGGTCTTCACGTGGAATGCCCAACCATCGGACTGTCTCAATTGGTTAATTATGGTTAGATGTTCTAAACTTCAATATTGGGTAATACATGCTTTTTGGAAGAGCGGGTTAGGCGGCTGACTTTGTGTGCTGGCGATTAGGTGCCTGACTCTGAGGGTGTGAGTTCGAATTCCGGATGGGGCTCGACTCAAAAAAGTACTAGAATTTGTACTTTACTAAGAAAGTGTAATCCCAAATATAACATATGTTATATCTCGCCATGGGCGAGAATATTTACTTGTGCTCAAAATACATGTTGTTGTTTGTATTGCTTTGGAGGTGGAAAGTATGTTTATAAGTATCATGACAAAAAGATTAAATCATTTGGTCTTAATTAGTCTAATTTAGAATCGTTAATGAAAAATCTCGCCCATGGGCGAAAATATGTTCATTTGCTGTTTTTTCTTTATATTGCAAATAAATGATTAAAAATACATGAAAGTACCATGACACATAATTTAATTGAATTGAACTTCACTCGACTGTGATACAGTATTAATATCTAACCCACTCTGGTTCGAGTAAAATGGGATTAGAAAACTGTCCTTTCCTCTTAACTTATTTCTTGGATTGGTTAAAATACAACTAAGGTGTGCCAATTTGCACCACCACACGCATTTCAACATTTTTAGCGTTATATCATATCATATCAAACGTATATCTCCTTTATATTTCAGTTTGTAATATGACTGTTTCAATTTTTTTTAAATATACCGTGTGATCCTACATAAAGAACAATGACCTGGAAGTGAACTGGTCTAAACAAGCGTTTAATTACGTGATACGTATGACATGTTCTCTTGAATTACTAATGTGTAGTATATGTGTAATGTTATAATATAAGACAATTTTCCGTTGAAATGAAGCCCTATTCTACGTTCCCAACATAGCGTCAATCAAGTGTTTGGTCTGTGTTCGGTCTGGCTTTGCGGGCTTTCAAAAACAACTTAAAACTCACAGATGTAACCTGAATTGTTTGGATCCATACACTGACATTATATCTACCACTATACCACCTTGTAAAGTATCAAAGCGATGTATTGTAAAAAAACATGCTTTTCAAAGTTAAGCTCTCGTTCCACATTTTCTACATCCTCTACAGCACAAGTCGTCGGTGCCAAAAGCACCTTAAAGATGACAGATGTATCCTGAATTGTATTTAGAGCCATGGACGAGTATTACATGTACCTAAATACCACTTTGTAACGTCATAATACACCACTTGTATAGATAACTGGTCCGTTAATATATTTTCTATCAAATAACGTAACTGGTTTGGAATTTGTAAAGGCTTATGCACTAAAAGAAATTCGCATACAATGTACCTAAATACCACCTTACAGAGTCTCAAAGCGTAGTATTCTAAGTGTACGTGTTGCTGTAAGTAACGCTCTGTGTTCATCCGGTCTTATTAAATTAATTGTCAGTTAATTACACCTGTATCCAGCTTGCATTATGGGCCCTAAGTATAATTTGTGTTTCAATCCGACGATCTGTCATTAATTACCTTTCACGAGCTTTCAGTGGTATTGAAAGCTCTCGCCTATTGTTTCATTAATAAATTGTTTCACGGATGAGTATGTAATCACTGGGCACTTAAAACATTAGAAGTAATGCCATGGAACAAGTTACCTAACTACAATATGACGTGATATTATATAGTATATGATTTGAGAATACCGAAGCACTGAAAAAGCATCGTTTTTAACCACCAAGAGCAAAACACTGGTAGTCGAGTTCAGGATCGAGTGATGATTGAAAATACCGCTTCGCAACAATCTGCGAATGATCCAGAGTTCTATCATTTTTTGATGTCATAGCCTCAGAGACCAATATACAAACACTGCCTTGTGTTGAAAACTGTGTATCTGGCCTTCTGTTTCAATGATACATTGATTCATGAAACAGAACATAAATCACAAATCGCGATCAAAGGCTGCCTCACCACAGGTATCTGTGACAAACTAATCAAACGAATAAAATCAATAACATATGGTTCACACAAAAACAAAAAGGGAACTCATGGTAAAGTGAAAATAGGCCACAACTTCTGCTACGTTTGTGGTCGTTGCAAAATATATTTGATTTATAATGCCTAAATAGCTTTTAAATGTACCATCAAATCCCTGTCTCATAGATTAACCATATTGTCCAAATTAGTCAGATTAAGTCCAAATGATTTGATTTTTTTTTCATGATGCTTATGAACATACTTTCATTCTACTACAGCCGCTTAGATATTAAAAAATATGCATTTTGAGCAAAAGTAAATATTCTCGCCCATGGACCAAATGTTTTTCGCCCATGGCCGAAATTTATTTAATAACAGTCTAAATAAGTCGAAAAAGGTCCAAATGATTATATTTTTTGTCATGGTACTTATAAACATACTATCATTCATTTACAACCTCCAAAACATTAAAATCCATGTATTTTGAGCAAAAGTAAATATTCAAATTGTTGTCGCCCATGGGCGAGACTTATTAATAATGCTCTAAATTAGTCGAATTAGGGCCAAATGATTTAAGTCTTTGTCATGATACTTAAAAACATACAATCATCAATTTACAACCTCCAAAACATGGGAAATCATGTATTTTGAACAAAAGTAAATATTCTCGCCCATGCGCCGAAATGTTTTCCACCCACCCATCTGAATATGCGATGGTGCGTGTATGTTACAGTGAGACAATAGATGAACTGTGAGTTGCATGAAGGATCTGAGTGTCTATGACTAAGAAGAGACGACGGGAAAACGTTGTAGGAAGCCACCAAAGTGAGAACTCCGGGGATAGAGTGTCGAATGTAAACAGTGACAGCTCCGTAAACACACAAACAAAACTGGAGAATATCAACAAAACAAGTGAGCATTTAAGTCAAGCCAGAACTGTATTGTATGAAAATATGAACTTTGATAATCAACATCCCCATGTACCCCCAAACCATTCAGTGGGACCCCCCGGGACTATTTCGCCTGGGTACACAGCTACCTCACAACCGCCGCACAACTTGCACGCTTTGACCCACATACAAACAACTACCCCCAGCATGGATATGGGTCAGCTGAGTACATTCATGATGAGGGTAGAAATGCAACTTTCAGGAATAAATCAAAAGTTGGAGCGCCTTGATGCCATGGATATAAAAATAAAGAACCTGGAAACAATGGTAGGATCTAATGATTCCAAGTTAAATTCACTCGGACTCCAAATGCATGAAAACTTTAAATCTACCAGTGATAAATTACAATATTGACAACAACAGTTTTAATGTTGGAATCGCATCGGATAAGATAAGCCGACTGGAAGATGAACTGGCAAGACAGCGTGATATTGTTCTAGATCTACAGTCTCGCTCTATGAGGCATAACCTGCTCATTGTGGGTGTGGGAGAGGAGAGGCAGAAGAAGAAGAAAGAGGATGGTACAGATGGAGAAGAGGACGAGAAGTTGTCAGAAATCTCTTCAAGGAAATGCTGCAGATAGCGGAAGGAATAGTTCAGAGCATGACTTTTGGTAGGGTTCACAGGGTTAATAACTTCAGAAATAGACAGCCGCGTACTCTAGGGGTTAACTTTAAAAACTATAGAGACAGGGGTCTTGTTAAGAAATGCGCAAACAAGCTGAAAGGATCAAGGATCTATATAAATGAACAGTGCCCGCCCGAAATCAACGAACAGAGACGACAACTTTTACAAGTTATGAAGTCTAAAAGAGCTGAGGGAAGACAATGTAACCTGGTGTAGAATAGACTGTACATCGATGGACAGCTGTACAAGCCCCCTGTGTAGGGACACGAAGAGGGTGAGACTTAGAATCTTGGTATGGAACTGCAATGGACTGACACAAACTAAGAAAGACTCGGGTAGTTTCTGTAAACTAATAGATAACTATGATATTGTGGTCTTGAGTGAGACATGGACTAATACGAGAAGTAAAATTGAACTGAACAATTTTAAAGCAGTACCGTTTCATCGTGCATATGTAAAGAAGAATTCTAAATGGAATAGTGGAGGAATGATTTTGTATGTTAAGACCTGCTTATCCGTAGGTATGTCCATTATTAGAAATGATCTTAATACACTAATCTGGTTAAACTTGGATAAGAAGCAATTTGGTTTAAGTAGGGATTTGGTTGTTTGTGCTGTGTATATTTGGCCTGAAGGTTCTGTCATGTATGGTGTACACAATGCTAACTTGTTTGAACTGGTCAGAGATGGTTACAACCACTTTAAACAGCAGTATGATGTCATCATAATGGGAGACTGCAATGCTCGTGTGAGGACAAGAGTTGACAGCGTAATTCATGATTCCTACAACAAATTTATAGACGATGCTGATTATGTACCTGACGTACCGCTAGTTAGAGCCACCATGGATATATCTACAAACACGTTTGGAAGTCAGCTAATTGATTTGTGTAAAAGCACAGGTCTGAGGATATGAAATGGTCGTTTCAAACAAGTTGTCTACTGTGAAATGCTATGTATCTGTTGACCAGGGCTTGCTGCGTCGGTTACAGCCCGTGAAAGCCAATTTTAAAAAAAACCCATCATGACCATCATCATCATTTTATTCACTCATTAACGCCACAAACGGTGGTACATGAACATATATATATATATATATATACACACACACACACACACACACACACACATATATATATATATATAACATATGATTAAAAGACACAAGATGGCTATATGCATTGATATTTGTGTACAAGTATATTAGTCCCTTATTGATATAGAGTATATAAAACTGTACATACATACATGATTATAATACATTAAACGAAAAGTCTTGATGGATATAATTAGCAACTTTTTAAGATAACGTTTATAAATTTGAATAGGTTTTTCAGTTCTCTAAGGTTTTTTGGTTAACATTAGTCTTTTAAATTTTATCAAATTTGGCCAGACATAATAATAACTATTAATCAGCTGCACCCGCTGTTGATGAAGAGCCTCGCACTTCAGTAAGTAGTGAAACTCGTCACCAACAGCAGGTGAGTTACACAACTGACAAACACGTTCTTCCCTGGAATTGCTAGATATCGGCCTGTTTCAATCGGCATCTTATGATTATTTAGTCTGAAGCGTAGAATTGGTACATGTATATAAATTGATTTAGGAAGGTAGAGGTAGTTTTCAAAATTTGGCTTTTCCTTTTAAAAGTCTGTAACATACGCCTTTGAAACTTGCATTAATTTCTGAGAGCCCAGATTGGTGAAAGTGATCTGTTAGTGTTGTATTAACCATTGAAGCAAGTCATGATGTTCAGCAGATTGCTTTTCAAAAAAAGATTGTTTTTCAAAAATATATGAGAGGCCACATTTATCGGGAATTGACTTGATAAAAGAAAGCCATGTATTTTTTTTTACAGTATCTTGAATATTTATGGACATAAAAGAATAAAGAACCTGGGAAAGTTTACGCGATGCTTTCAAGTTTATGCCAGATGGAAAGAATCTTTTATAAATAGCCATGGACATCTTCCAAATTCACCGTAAAGCATGAAGGAAGGAGTAGAGGTTTTGAGCACAGCCGCCAAATTTAAAAACTTGAGGTGAACTCTTTCAACAGTAACAAGATTTTCATGACCCCATACCTCACAACCATACAACAGTATCGGGACAACCATAACGTCGAAATCAGATAACAGACAATCAATTGGTAAATTAACATTCCTAGCCTTCTGTAATAGGGAGAACATTGCTTTTGTGGCACTTTCTGACAAATTCTTAATAGCTTTCATAAGTCGCCTGTTTCTATAAAACTTTATACCAAGATATGTGTAATCGTCCACTATATTAAGACATTTATCTCCGAATTTAAATGACGTTTTTGCATGTTTTGTGGGACCACCTCCAAATATCACAATTTTTGTTTTCGAAATATTGACATTTAGTTTCCATTTCTTGCAATTATCGTAGAAACTGGTGAGAGACTTTTGTGCATCATCTGGGTTATCATTTAAGAGGGCAGTATCATCAGCATACATGGAATGAAAGTGATGAAAAGGGAGAAATTATATGTGGTAATAGTTTCAATACTGAGACCCTTAGAGCTTTTATCTTTTAGAAACTCATTAAGATCATTTACAAACAAAGAGAACAGCATTGGCGATAGATAGGTTGCGTACATGAATGTTCTAACTATAGACCAGTTGCTCTAACGAGTTGCCTCTCGAAGGCTTTTGAGAAATGTATATTTAAATACGTATATAACTTCTTCAAAGACAATAATACAATCACTAATTTACAATCAGGATTCAAACCTGGAGACTCGACAGCATATCAACTAACAGACCTATATAACTTTGTATCTAAAGCCCTTGATGAAGGAAAAGAAGTAAGAGCAGTATTCTGTGATATAAGTAAAGCCTTCGATGGGGTATGGCACAAAGGTCTAATATCTAAATTGAAACAATGTGGTATCAGGGGAAATGTGTCAGTCTGGTTTTACAGCTACTTAATAGATAGACAGCAATCAGTCGTGATCAACGGTTATTCGTCTAACAGCCAACCTGTCCGTGCGGGAGTTCCCCAGGGATCTGCCCTAGGACTGCTACTGTTCCTCATCGATATAAATGATTTAACGGAAGGTATACCAAGTAATATATGGCTTTCCCCGACGACACATCGCTGTCGTAATAGAAGACATTACACAAGCACGTTACTGAACGAGGACTTAAGTAAAATTTCCAATTGGGCTTAGACTTGGCAGGTAACTTTCAGTCCCGGAAAAACTGAAGCCATGCTTTTTTCAATCAAAAGAAAACCAAGTCAGAAGTTTGATTTATTTTTGAATAAGACTAAAGTTAAAGAAGTGACAACTCATAAACACATGGGCATCGTATTCCAAGAAAACGGTAAATGGCATAGCCATGACTCTGTTGTTAACAAAATAAGCACATTAATAAACTTCCTACGTAGCTTTAAATACCGTCTTAGCAGGAAAAGTCTCGAAATTTTGTATAAATCTTTCATTATACCTATATTTGATTACTGTGACCATATTTGGCACAATTGCACTAAAGACCAAGAGATAAGATTTAAAAAATTACACATGGATGCAATTAGAACTATAACCGGAGTTTATTTTACAAAATAAAAAAAGGTATGACACCCTCATATATATCACTGTTAGTCCCCACTTCTGTTGCAGAAAGGACTGACTATGATTTACGGGATTCGGCCAACCTTAGAGCAGAAGGCTCAAGGTCAGTCAGTCACGGCCGGTCATTTATTCTTTCTGTTGTTCAAGACTGAAATACCCAATTAAAAATGCACAAACTGTGAAACACTTAAACCTTCTTATCAACCAGGATAGACCTCTTACACAAGATTTCAAATGGTATGTAAACTATGGCCCACGCCACTTACAAATAATTATGTCTAGATTAAGATTAGAATGCAGTAACCTAAAGGCAGATACGGATTAAAAGTAACGGTCCGGTAGCCTGCCGAATATAGTCTGTTTTCAATGAGTAGTTGTCACCCGGGGTCTTCTCGTTTTGCCACCTCCCTATTGTTAAGGGTGGCGAAGCAGTCAAGCGTGTTGATTGGAAGAACAATAGGAGGTGCCCCACTGCCTTCTTTGCTCCCCCTTCCCCCCACCCCCACCCTACATCAACTTAAACCCTTTTTCTTTCTTTATAGAGAGAGAGAGAGAGAGAGAGAGAGAGAGAGAGAGAGAGAGAGAGAGAGAGAGAGAGAGAGAGAGAGAAACTATTTTATTATTGTGTCATGCAGATGTTTACTTAATATATAAAATCTTCTGTATCAAATGAAACATCTACCCGGCCTTAACAGGCCTACGAGACACATAAAATCCATAAAACGATGCATAAATAAAATATAGCTCCATACACACATAGTAAAACTTACGGAAAAGGTAGGTGGTGTAATATCGTACGTTATAATGATTTTCTTCTTTTAAACATGAGTAACACTGTAGCAGCTAAGGGATATACTAGGTTATCCAACAGGAGTCATCAAGCTAAACAGAGGGTTAAGAGAGCGTGCCTTTTGCCATAAAACTGACCTTATATCGGAATATATATTACGCCGTGCTTGAGAATATTTCGCTCATATGACGACGTGCATGTGTATGTGTATGTGCGGCTGCTTGTACCAGCCCAGACTGAAGCTGGTTTTATAGTGCTAGCCCACTGTGATACCATGCCGCAGTGAAGCATGAATACCCCACTCAGACACATTATACTGACTCCGAGCCGACCAGTCCTTGTTGTACCCATTAATGCCGAGCGCTAGGCAGGGGCCAACAAGTACCATATTTTAACGTCTTTTGGTATGACGCCGTCGGGGATCGAACCCGCGACCTTCCGCTCTCCGGGCGGACGCTCTAACCACTACACCACGGAGGCGGTTACTTACGGAATGACAATGACCAGTTGTGAATATTGCTTATAATACTAGAAGACTTTATGGCGTTTCCAATAACGGGCAGATTCAATACGATGTTTTGTGAGGTTAGAAAACCAACCCATCTCGCCTCTTACGGCTAGGTTCGGGTGTTAAGACCTACACCAAAAAAGAAACGACATGCCCTATTTTGGATAGCATTTATACAACTGAATTCACGTGTTCCCCAAACAGCAGAGCCATACGATAGTATTGGTTGAACTAAGTTATCATAAAGTTTGTTAAACACATCATAATGCATCCCACCAACTGCTTTGAATTTACTAATTAAAATACTCAGTGTTCTTCCAGCAGACTTAGCGATTTCCTTTGCAGTGTAATTAAGATCAAGGTGTTCTTGTAACCACAGTCCAAGATATTTATAGGCGTTACAGACATCGATGTCATCATTGCCACAAGAAAATTTGAATATCATGATCATCTGCGTAAAGAAGAACACTCAGCATGAGATTAGCGTTGATCTGAATACCACAATTCAGCTGATTGATTTCATCCACCAAATCGTTTATGAACACAGAGAATAATGTTGGCGATAAAACGCAGCTCTGTTAAACACCACGCTTTCAATTTTCCGACCACTATTTATTTTATGCCATCACATTTATCAACTTACATGTGGTTTCACAATGCACTGACTGACTGAGTTTTGGTTTTACGCCGCTTTTAGCAGTATTCCAGCAACATCACGGCGGGGGACACCAGAAAAGGGCTTCACACATTGTGCCCATGTGGGGATTCGAACCCGGGTCTTCGGCGTGACGGGCCAACGCTTTAACCATTAGGCTACCCCACCGCCCCCCACAATGCACAATCCCATAGGCCGCCATGTTAAAGGAGTTATTGTACATATCTTGATTAAGTTATTGCCGTTCGATAAATAAACAACGGAAAATTACAGAAATTATGTGATTGTAGGTAAGATGATTCTTCACAAATGTGCAAAATTTGACTTGGATCTTGCGAAAATTAAATTCATGAAAATTATTTATGCTACACTCTATTAACATGTAAGTCTACGGAAATTACGTCAAGTGTCCGAATATTTTTTGCACGACTCTGTACATCTGAAACGCAAAACCAGTCAAGTTTGGCTTTAAAGTGAAAAATAAACTGAAGTACGTCTTTGTTTTCTCTTGTTGACCTTACCTGGATTTCAAGTTTAAAAAAAGGAAGTGAACTCATACTAGTTACTAGTAGTGTATGACTAAAAGAAAGTTTTGGCTAAAAGGTTTGGCGTAATGACCCACAATATTTCCTAAATGATCCACATAACTGATGGCTGGTAGGCCATGGGCTCGGGGTAGTCCCGTAAGTTCGACCTTTGGGTCAAGGTTAAAATCCTTTAATGTTTGATGTTGTGACAACGGTGTTGGTATAAGGGATTAAGACACTGGTTTCACTGTTTAGAAATGCTTGAATGAACACTATATGCCAAGGGGTAGTGACACGACACCAAATTAATGATACACCAGACAACTGCGGTCCACTAATCGTGATCTAGCTGGAGGAATCGTTTGAAACATCTTGTGATATTATTATGGGAGGCACAGCTTACACAGTCACTTATACTTAAAATAGCCTTCGGTTAAGAATACATGCATTTGCCCCGGATATCAACATGCATTAGTGTTTTCAGGATTCTAAATCTCAGAAAGCTGTTGTGTAGAATCTCGAGAAAGATCATAGAATGAAAAATATAGGTATGTTAAAATATTTAGCTGAATATGAAGAGCGACGAGGTGTTGTTCACATAACGGCTCAAATGAGCTCAATTGAGTCTATTTCTGACGAACTGGCGGGATCGTTTTGGTGATTGTACGTGCGCTTTCCGACATTTGCGGGAATTATAACTCGCCACGAGTTTCAAAACAATATATTCATACATAACTTGTCAACTTTAATATGGGGCTACATGTCACATCTCTGGGGATATTGTAGTTTGACGTTTCTAGGGTCATTCATATTTTTGTTCAACGTATTCATTTTGAAATTCCACCTTGGGTATGGCAGCGAGGTTACACGAATTTTCAGTTTGAGAAATATTTTAAAGTCATATTTGAGTATCTGGGTTTTTTTCTATTTTATGTAGCTGACAAAGATATTATTTTATCTGTATACTGTATTCATCAAAACAAATCACCGTATTTAGAAATATATATTTAGAAATATAAGGTGAACAAGCTGGTAATAATTACGTTAGAATATGACTTTAACAAATATTATTTTCTCTTTCTTTCAGTTGTATTCTTTTTAAAATGAATTAAATATATCTAAAATAAACACAGTAATACAATAAACGAATGCTTTGATGACATAAAGACCATTGGAATCAAAACTGGAATAGAGTTATCGTTCTCGTTTGAAGTAGTTCTGCTGTTCATACATCAATATGAAATCCTTCAGAGGGGCACGAGTCGCTATTCGGCTTGTCCCGAAATAACACGAGTTGGTCACGAATGGAATGAGGCGAGCTCATCAAATCTGAATGAAGCTCACATAATTAAGGGGAAGTAACTCCTGTGTGACTATTCTTCAAGTTCTCAAAAAATAATTAAACAAGCATTGCTCATACTGGTAACGAGTTGCTATTTTACACATGTCATATTTTCCTTTTAGTGAATCATAGAGTATCTCAAACAGCTTCATATTTACCTGAGTACCATACCTCCAGAACGTAGTTACAACCTCCTTTGAAACAAATTTAATATCAAGTACAGTTAAGTATGTTAGTGATAAACACGCTTAGAACGAAATGAAGGCTTTAAAACGAAGGTCACGGTCACTTACTGTATATTTTAGTAGAAATGCGTATAACGAACTACGGTTATAACGATCTTTAACTAATGATCCATTTGGGTTGGCTAAAACAATACTTAACTGTATGTGTCCCTTCTTTGAGTGGCATTTAGAACCTGCTATCATGAGTGAGTGAGTGAGGTTTAATGCCGCTTTTAGTAATATTCCAGCAATATCACGACGTGGAACACCAGAAATGGGCTTCACACACTGTACCCATTAGGGCGAACCCGGGCGTGACAAGCGGGCGCTTTACCCACTAAGCTACCCCACCGCCCCTGGTATGATGAAGAGGGACGATTTGGTTTATGGATAGACCTTTTTATTGCTTTAGATGCGACGTTTCGGTGTAGATGCTAACACCGTTAGCAAGCTTGATGATCACTAGATTATCTGGTCCAGATTCTATTATTTACGGACTGCCGAGAAAAAGCTTGCATATTGCTGCATGAGGCGTTATACAACACACGAACAATGCTAGCACCAGTCCGAACATCTGACGGTTTAATGTAAATCTTCTAGGATACCAGGCGCAGTTTTATATACGGGGCCCAGATAAACGGGGTTCGACTGTAGATACCCTTGTTATACACATAATTCACATCCGACTCCGAACACCATCGACCATGCCTAAGTACAAGACAAGGAAACAGAAATTAGTATCTGTTGGTATAACAGGGGCTGCGGTTAAAGAGTTCGTTCGTCACGCTGATGACCCGGGTTCAATTCCCAACATAGGTACAATTTGTAAAACCCATTTCCGGTCTCCTCCGCCCGACAAAGCTGTAATATTGCCAAAAGGGGCGTAAAACTATACTCACCCACATTTGGGGCGACACAGTCTGGAATCGAATTTCTGACCTACTGTATCCGTAAAGACCCGGGTTAGAATCGATCTTCAGTAACCCATGCTTGTTGTAAAAGGCGACTAACGGGATCGGGTGGTCAGGCTCGCTGACTTCGTTGACACATGTCATCGTATCCCAGTTGCGTTGATCAATGTTCATGCTGTTGATCACTGGATTGTTTACATTATTTACAGACCGCCGCCATATAGCTGGAATATTGCTGAGTGTTGCGTAAAACTCAACTCACTCACTCTCAGTGCGGCGTTAAACAACAACCAATCCAATCCGGCCTACTGATATTCAGGCATGCTGGCACGAGACCACATATGCGCTTTAAGCCAGCGGCGATTTATTAATACTAGTTTTCTAATTCTACAGCTGAATATTATTTTGACAGTCTATGACACTAATAAGCCGTAATATATGAAAACATGTCAATACAATAGCAAACAACATAGCGACAGGCGAAACAATTACAAACAAATTGCACCTCAATCAGCTGAAACATTTCTGGTAATTATTTCAGCAGCTCGAATAAGTAGAGATAAAAGATAGAACTAATTTACATATCTACATTATATACAACTATTCGATCAATAACTAACTAATACACATATACCAACGATTTTTTAAACAAGGAACTATTTATGTCTTGTGATTTAACAGCTTGCAACCCGTGGGAGGTACTCACTTGTGAAATATACTCATCATGCAAGAGTTCACTCCCTTTGTACATCCTGGCGTACGTCTAACACGCGATGTTCATATATTGAATAGCTGGCCATTATCAACAGATACTGGATATGATATATTTCACCACTTTCGTGGGTGGCGTTAATATTATTGCATTTCGGAATATATGAATAACTGCGCGAGTTTATATTAACATTTCTTGGGTCAGGAATGTATGTGTACTAATATCTATTCTGTTTTCATGTGTACACATTTGTAGAGTGTATTCTTTAGTCTAAATGTTTAAATAATTGTTGAAGGGATGTTTTAAAACACGCACATGGTATGAGACGTGAATTTTCTGTTTAATTCAATATTCTTTTGAAACGTTTATATGAGTTGGTGTCAGTCTGAACTTTAAATTAACGTATGTGAGATGGTCTGTCTATCATATGAATATGAATATGTATAATCTCTGAATTTGTCACTGATTCGTTGTATGGCCTGGTTCTCTCAGGCAATAAAAGTAGTCCCTGTTTCGGTTTATTAGACCGAGTGATATTCATGTAAACATATGTGATATTCCTTTAAAATTCCCTGCGTTGTAGTTTTGTAGTTTATAATTCATAGTTCAAATAATAATCTCGTCGCATTATATCAAAAACATGGCTGCTTCCTCATAAATGCATCGGTATTTTAGTCATTCAAGTCCTGTTTCGGACAGAAATAATGGAGAACTAAAACCAACATTGCCGTATTTGTGAATATATATATCTAATCCAAGAAACTCAAAATTGTGTATATTTTTAAGAAAAAAAACATCATAAACATTGTCCTCATAAATTTAAGGATAATACACAATAGATGTTTGTATCATTCTCGGTAACAAATGTCCGCAAACAAAGGATTGCCTACTTCAGCCCACGCCATGGAGCCTACTGCTAGTGTATCTAGATCCCATAGATTTCATTCTTCTGTGTCTATACAGGTCCCGTGTTTTATTGATCAGTGTGTTGACGGCAGGTGGCTGTATATTGGATTTATAATAATCTAAACATATCTGCATAGAGTGTTTCTGACCTTATGGATGCCTCGAACGCTCAAATACGTCTATACAAGCAACGCGTCAACTGAATCGATGAGTGGCCTTTGCGTGTTTGTGACGGACGCTACCGGTGAAGGTTGGTTGCCATTTGTTTTTTGCGATATGGTGGCGGTCTGTAACTAATCAAGCCTGGACCAGACAACCCAGTGACCAACAGCATGAGCATCGATCTCGCAACTTGGATACGATGACATGTGTCAATCAAGTGAGCCAGCCTGACCACCGTTAGTCTCCTTTTATGACAAGTATGGGTTGCTGAAGATCAATTCTAAACCGGATCTACCGGTAAAGGAGGATGCAGTCACCATTTTTGCGAATACCTGGTATCATCACTAATTGATTGGAATTCGTATATATTCACAATTCATAGTGTAACG